TACAATTTTGCCAGCACGATTGGCTTTTTCACCAAAAGCTAACTTCTTTGAAACTGTGTTCTCTTTTCATTAAATGAAACTGCCTTTTCCAATTCAGAACGTAGCTCGTACTGGCTATCGCACTCGCACACATGTGATTATGGGAGATGGACAATAACATGTCTGTTGCCACGTTCCAACTTGGTACCTTCACGTCTGAAAAATCTCAATTCGAAACGCGGCAAACGAAGAAAAGATGTGTTTGCATCAATTTACTTGGATAATTTATTAACTTATAGCATTAAAAACTAAAAATCGCCAAATCGGTGGCCGCATGTATATTTCATGTTACCTCTGCTTTATTAGCATGAGTTCCTAGAAGCTTAATAATGACAATATCTGATCTTTTTTGAATTCGCGTGTACGATATTTGTCAGGCTTTTGTATAAGAATGAAACCAGTGATTTCTGAGAACGTCGCATGATTAAAGAAACTAAAATATTTACTTGATATGCTCAAGTATTTGAAACACAAATATTTGAAACGTGTTTAGTCCCTTAAAACGCACGCAATGTTCACGTGGGCCAACATACGATAAAACCGCGTTTTGAACGCAAAAAATGGAATGGAACGCGGCAAATCAATTAGCAAAAATCCTAATGCAAACTGACAAGATACAATTTTTATTGGCTTGGCAAGGTTAAAGTGATTGATGGACTTCCGATTCCTGTGACGCAGGCGGCTCCAGTTAATGATTTATTAATGCAATAAATCGGATTTAATTGCAATTCGTTTAGGCCCCCATAGATCAACCGAAGCAAGCTAAATCACGTAGACAGTAGGCAGTGAAAAAATTAACGCATTTATGTAAAAACATTGCTGATTAATACACAAACTGAATTGGACTGCGTCCAAATGATTCTTCAGAAGAAGCAGTTAATGTTGTCATCAAGTGTTACACAATAGTCACTAAAAGTGAACGACGACTGAATCAGCCGATTACATTTCACCATCCATCGTGAGCAATTGCACAGTTCGCAGAATTTTTTTTCGTACAAAAACAGGATTTATTCAAGATTTCATTCTTGAAACTACTGAAAACCTCAAGAGCACTTGATCGATAACCGCAAGAATCAAGCCGTATCACTGTTTTGAGCTGCTGTTATCACAAATTGTGTAACATTCGGCTATTTTGCGTGAAACGTCTAGCTAATATTTAAAATGTAAAATCAAGCTCTTGGACAATCGAACAATGGCAGTATGGCAATTACTGTTTGCATCGAAATTCCAGTTCGGAAAAGCGATATATCGGTCGACACATGTCTCTAAAATTATCATACATTATGAAAAAATCGCGAATTTGCATACCGGTCGGCGCTCTCAACAAATCTGCGGCTTTACACGTGTCGTGCAATAAACAACACCATTTGCCAAAGCACTCATTGCCAAGATAACCGAAGTATTAATTATTTTGTGGTAATAAATTCTTGCTTTTCAGGCACTTCACTTGAAGCGTTCGTAACAATCAATATGGAAAATCATGCCACTGGATTATAGATTCAAACATTTCAAACTGTCCTCAATTTTTAATCAGATGATTACAATAGCCAGAAGTACCTACCGTGCAAATTTCTTTGGCCTAAATGAAAAAGTGGTTTACATTATCCATCCATTTTCGATAACTTTGGGTTGATTTTGGACAACAGTTGCAAAATAATCCTGTAGAATATCCAATTTTCAAACGTTGTTTATGCTCATAAGTGCCTTTGCCTTTATGAATGTAAAAAACTGGCTTTTTCCTTTTGAAGCTTCGAATCTTGTCTTGCAATGCATGGCCTTCCAGTTAATAGAAGCTTACGTGTCTATGCCACGCCTGTTTATGCGATCTGAAAGGCATTAGGAACTATTTCTCTCTATGTCCATCTGGCTGGGCACAGTTAGAACTGAAGACTTTCTGTATGAAATTTCTCTTACTTCGAATTGGACAGTTTAACCATTTTCAAGAAAGTCGCTCTTTTTCCATCGCAATTCTTACCCGAGATTGAGAGAAGTGAAGTACAGGTGTACACATGTGATGAGACTAATCATGAAAATTATGCAGAACTTTGTCTGTCAGAAAGTTGGCGATTTTTTGGGCAAAAATTCATCAAACAGTATTTTTTATTTAATTTTGGTAGAGTAAATCGCGCACAGTCTTTCTTATTGACCATCTTCAAGGCAAAGTTGGTTGGACCAATTGGCATTAGAGTTGAAAGCTTGTAGCTGGAAAAAATTGCGCATTTGAGAATATTTATCAGATTTTGATTAAAATTATCTTAAAATCACGCTTTTGGCAATTTTTTTCTTATATTCCGCAACATTCGATACAATTGTCGATTTGCTGTCTTTTGCTATTATTGTATGCAAATAGTCCACTGAAGCAACATTAGTGAATGTAACTTGGCGTTTTTTTCAACTACTAAGCGAAATGAAGCTGTGACTCAAAAATTATGAAAAATTGGACAAAAGTTTATCTATTCTAATATAAATCTGTCTTCACCTACTTTGGACAGTTCGCGTTCCATTCACAAACTTACTTCTCTTTACTCGTTAGAGCGTAAAACTTAAAAAAAAAACGTTAAATTGCCGAAAATTGCTATCATAGTTTTTCGGGTCAAAAGTTATTGCACTTTTAACTGCTTTTCTGTGCTATTTACTTACAAAATTATCGCAAAATAACCGTGAAAAAAAACAGATGCAACTAAAACTGAAACTTAATTCAACAAAAAAGTATAAATAACTCACTTCAACCTTTTCATAGTAGAACGTAGAACTTCTACTTCTCCTTCTTCTTCGTAGAACCGCTTCTAAAGGAATAAATCTGGAATTTTTAACTATTTATAAAATTTTCTAATATAGAGACCGTAAGTTTTTGCACTACTTCTAATTTTTTTAAATCTTTAAATAGGGGCTTTTACTACCCAAATCGGGAGTTTTTTTTGCCTTCTGACTGTGTCTTAAGACGGTTGTGAGTTAATGCCGCTTTGTCTGTCTAACAACACTTAATCTCAGTCAAGATGGTAGACTTCGGATTGCAAAAATGTCTATCAAAAATCAAGTTTTAC